AGTAACCAAAAAATACTTTTATTCAGATTACTATTGCTTTCTTTTTTCTTCTGTTAATGTCATCGTTGTCATCAACAACTTAGGAATCAACTGTAACAGAAGCAGCAGCAGTAGCAGCATAGAAAAAAAAAAAAAGAACTGAAATAAAATTTCTTTCATTTTTATTTAATGATATAGGTTTTTATGGAACCTTATAAAACATTTATTGCTGAAATATGATGAACCTTAACGACAGTATCTTTAGTAAGTGGACAAGCATAACAATTAAGAGTCGGTTGTTTTAAAGATGATACAACTATTCGCGTGTTAATGACACTAACCTAAGTGTCGGTTTTAACTTCTGCCAGGATCAAATTTCAGAAATCCTTTGGATGAGAGGCGTCAGGAAGGGTGGTGGAGGAGAGTTAAAACGGTCACATTTAGTGGCTATTATAGTACGCTAAATTGCAACCGCGCTGCTTTGGAACCTGTATCTCCAGATCCTGAGCTTTTAAAAAACTGAGTACTCTACAGATGCGCTTTGTAACTCTCAGATATACGTAAATTTGTAGCTGAATAAGTATTCTGGTTTTTTTTTTTTTTTTGGTACTAGTGAAAAATATATTGCCTTAATCGACGACCGCCTATTAGCTTTATTCTTCTATTTCCTTCTCGTTCTTTTATCATTTCTTGTCGTTCCTCCACCACAGCAGTCAAGCTACTATTCTGTTGTTTTAGCCAGAAATGTTTTGTTGAATTGTTCACATAAACTTTTTTATGTTTTGGTTTAAGGATTTTGCTCAACAAACGTTTATAGTTGTTTTTTTCTCTCCTTATTTGATTATTACCTTTTTTTAATTTAAGAACAACAAACAATAATAATAGATATTTTCGTATCAATAAGAAAATATAATGGTATTAAAAAAAAAGCCGAACGATAGTAAAACGCTATTTGTAAATGTAAAAAGCAAAATAAAATTAAAAAAAAGTATATATAGGTGTAAGTCAAAAAATTTTTTTTCAATGAAACAGATGAATGTAATAAGAAAATGTTGAAAAAACTCTGTAACTAAACTATTTTATTATCATAAAATAAATGAAAATTGTAAAACAGCAGCGACAAAAAGAAAAATAAAAGTTAGGAATAAATGCTTCCTTTTTCTTTACTAAAAAAATTCAACTTTTTTTTCCTCATTCTCATTCTCATTATTCTTCTTCTTCTCCTCCTTCTTCCTCTTCTTCTTCTTCTTCTTCTTCTTCTCCTTATTCCACCTCAACTTTTTTGATCACTTTTTCTTTTCAAGTTTCTATGATATTTGAAAAAACCACTAATCTACTGTTGGTTATAAGCAACAGAATATGATAGCAGAAGAAGAAGCAATAACAGAATTTTTGAGCTCATCATCTGTAAAGTTTTTGGTACGGCAGCATTGCAGTAGTCAGCATTGTTGCAGAAGCAGTATGTCCATCTGGAACGACAGATTTAAATGCTGTATAACTGAAGTGTAAAGCAGTGAAAAAAAAAAGCTTAAAAAAAATCAAGGAATACTGAAAAATAGTATTTATAATGAGCAAATCTGTTGACATTAACTAACTGCAAAAAAAAAAAAAAAAAAACTTTTCTAAATGTTTTGTCTTTTAGACTTTTGATTACAGATTTATTTTGCTAATTTTTTTGGCATATATATTGAAACAAAATAAAAAAAAGAAGCAGCAAATATTTCTTTTTTTTTTTTTTTTTTACCGTTACCTTAGTGATTTTAATGAAAGCTGTTCCTATGTTTCAAATAGTTATTTCTTGTCACTGAAATAAATACAACAAAGATATTTTGAGAATGAAATGGGCAAAACTTTTTCTCGAGAAACAGATATTGTGGTTATTAAAAAAAAAATAAATTTTATTTGTTTTTTTTTTGTATGTGTGTTTCATAAAATGCAGCCAAAATAACTAAAATAAAATTGCTGAAACAGTTAAAGTTAATATGTTGACAACCAAAGAGAATTCAAAAGAGAAAGTCAGTATTGTAGTCGTGTTGTAACTATAGGAAAACTCTGCGTCGAAACGAAACGGCGATAAAAGTTATACTCATTTAGAAATTGAAAAACTGATTTTATAGATTATTGAAATGAATGAGAGAACTGAAAATTGGGTTTTTTTTTCGTTTTTTTTTATAAACTAAACTTATGCTGAAACATCAATTTTCTGCGTTATGTCTGTAAACAGTGTTCAGCAATCAGTAAACGAAGGAGCGGAATAAATTTTTTAGCTAAAATTAAAGTGAACAAATTTTAATATATTAATAAGAGCAAAAGTTTTTGAGCGACAACTACAATGCATCTTTTTTGGTAGTCTCCATTTTCTTTAGGCTCTTCTGATATATTTTACCAATTTTTGAAAGAAATTTAAACTACAAATTTGTTGTTAGTTTATTGAATGGAATTTGATGTTTCCAACGTTTTAAAACTTTGAAAAAAAAAATGCCAAAAAATATTTGTTGATAATTTTTTTCTTCGAAATTTTGTACTCCTATTTTACATATTCGTTTATTCGTTTATTTTATCTCTTTATTTAACTGTTATTACTTATTACTGAAATTTATTTATTTGTTTTGCTTTTCAAACCAAGCAACAAATCGTCTGTTTTTGTCTAAATTGATAATAAAATTAAAAAGTACAAAAAAAAAAAAAAA